GTCCTATTTGGTATGGCAACTCTTAATACTTCATCAAGGTGGGAATCCCTGGACGGATTTTATATACGAATATTTAATTTTAGAGTAAAAAGATTCAAAATCGATGCAAATAATATCAGCAGCCATTGTGCACACTTTTGTGCAGTAATGTTTAGTTAGTAATTTTTAAGTTAGTAATTTTTAGGCACTAACTTCCAAAATTCGATAAACTCCTATTCTTCGGTTTTCTTTATAAATAACCTCCAAATTTTTATCAATTTTAAGTTGTATGATTGAGTCAAACAACGTTTTGTAATCATATCCAAATTCATTTAGTTTACTAATGGCTGTTTTTCTACATTCCATGAATTTTCTTTAAGCAACACACTATTGTTAATATTTTTTAATCTAGAAATCTGTTCTTAAATTTAAATAAATTCATTAGATAAGGCAGCTAAATAATTTTAAGTTACCTTTTAGTTTTCTGAGAATATGTGAATAACATCCCGTTTAGATTTTATTAAAGTTAGAAAATTACTAGTCACTTTTGTATTTCCTGTTAATAAACATTTATTTTCTCTCCAAAAATAAGTGCTTGTAAGTAGAATCTGAATATATGTGAAATTTATTTGTACCTGCACAAAAGTCGCTCTAGTTCTCCTCGCACGCTTTGATTTTGTTAAAGTTAAAAAATTATTATCCACTTCTGCATTTCCTCGGAGTAAATATTTATTTTCTCTTCGAAAACAAGTACTTGGAAAGAGAAACTAAGTATATGTGAAATGTTTGTGTATACTTCCATAAAACTCGCTCCAATTTTGCACATCCTACACCCGAATTAAAGGAACTCATACACATTAAAACCCATAAAATCTTCGAATATGTGACTGTTGCAAGTATTGGGATAAATTATTTATTTTAAAAGCAATTACCTACAACTTGTAGTTGTAGCTGACTACATAATATTGCTGCTTTCTGAAATAGTAATCAGAAAGTTTATGTTGCCACAAATATTTTTATAATTTAATCCGCTTTGTGACAAAAGTTTTCGTCATGTTTCCACATTGCGCCTACAGTTTCAAACATTCTGTTACATAACTTAATTCCATATTTAATATATAGCTTTTATAACATTTCGAAACTACTGTGAACCAAACATTCTAAGAATTCCATGTTAAATTTTTATTTTATTTGGAGTTGAGTTTATAAAATGTATTTTATTAAAAAAGTCTGTAATGTTTTCGTGCATAAAATTTTTTATATTAAAATATTCAGCAGATTTTTGGTTCAGTTAGAAAATAGTGCCCAGATAAAGAATTCCATCAAATTCAAGTATGTACTATTAGCCATTTTTAAAATATCATGCACGTAAGGTGGAAACATGACGAAAACTTTTGTCACAAAGCGGATTAAATTACAAAACTATTTGTGGCAACGCAAACTTTCTGGTTACTAGTTCCTAAAGCAGCTATATTATGTAGTCAGCTGTAAAAAGTTGGAAATAGTTTCTTTTAAAATAAATAAAATATTCCAATTCTTGCAAGAGTCACATATTCGAATATCATAAGGAGTTTAAGGTGTATGGAGTCCCCTTAAAAGACCATTTAAATATACATCATCCTGTGCTTTTAAAGGGTCTTTTTCAAGCATGATCAAAACGTGCGTTTTCTTATACATTAGTACTTTTATTTTGATTCTTTCTGTACGTTTACAATAAGTTTCATACAGCAGTACCTTTCAGTGCGACATCATAGGAACCATTTATATGTTTCTGTGGAAAAAACGCCATCGACCATCATCTTTAAGCTTTCTATATACTTTGCATATTGAAATAGAATAATATCTGATCTTAAGCGAAAAAAATCCAGAATTTTCCTTCGTTTAAAATCGCCAAGATGTTCAGATCAACCTTGCTATAGCTACTGTTATTTTCTTCCAATCAGGTGTTAAAATTTTAGTTTTCCTCGCGAATGGAAGAAATTAGCTATACTTACTACAATTTTTATCATAGTTTATAGTTTCCAGAGAGCGCTAGCCATGTGTTCTAAATAAATGGTACAGAAAAATAGTAGGAGCTTATCTAAATTATATATTTGTTTAGATAAGTAAATAAATCTAAATTCAGATTCCGGCATCGATCAACATCCAGTTTTGAGCACGAAAATTAATTGCTTTGTACCAATAAAATTCTTCTCCAGAAATTATAGCAATAATAACAACAAGATAATCTTTTTCTCTAGTTTTGTTCTTCATAGAAAGAAATTTTTAAAACTCTGCGTAAAGTAGATTCTCTTCCCTAAACTTTCTGACGAAGCTTGTTTGTTTTAGAATCAAAGCTAAAATAAAAATTTATAATGTATTAAGAAATGAATTTTGGAATATTTTCATGCACCTAATGCAGATAAAATCTTAGACTTTCGCATATTTAAATTGTTAAATTATTTGTTTTTTATTACTAAACAAATAATAGTTATGAACAGTCTTTCCCAATTCATGAGGCAGTAAATGTTTTCACATGTTTGTTTGGTATATAACAAATTTTATATGATGCTTTGTGACAGCTGCACAATGTGAAATCATCACCATTCTATTTTCTTGTGGCTGCAAAGCTTTATTTGGAAAGTTGCTGCTTCCCTTCTCATTAAAGGCACATTGAAAGTAGTGTTTCTAAATTATTTGTGTTTCGGAGGATAATGGAGATCAGTGTTACATTTTTCAATATCCCACTTTTATGGCAAAGCAGACAAACTGTTGAAACTGATTCATTTTTCATAACAAAATATTATTCTTCCCACTTGTCTTAGAAAAATCTATTTTCATCAGTAATTCTTCAATTGCTTTTTGGAAACATTTCTGTCATTGTGGATACTAAAATGCTGAGTTTCTGCACTTTAAATTAAAATACCGACTTAAACTCCAAACTGCCAGGCATCCGCATAGTACAGCAACTGCAACAGTTCACGCACGTGCGTTTCAAGATTTCAAATCATGTACAAGAAATCATGATGTACAAGAAATGTGAAAAAAAGTCAATGTTAACAAGTTTTTCAGAAATTCAAGATTTTGCTGCAGAGCAGTGGATTTCAAATCTTTGTTTGTGAAATCTGCGAATAAATTTCATTTTAGGCTGCAGGTATCAGTTTCTTGGACCACATGCGGATTGAGTATGGATGGTCTAATTAAATAAAAAATTGGTTTCTTAGTTTATTATTAAAAGTACGCAAGAGCACTCTCCTGTATATATTGTTGGCAGTCAAAAGTTTCTACTAAACTCCCGACACTGCGCTTGTGAGGCGCCAGAGAGTTCTTGCGTTATACACTTGCGGATTCCAGACGATACCCGGACAGTCTTTGTAATCCACCGGGTGTCCGGACCATTTCTCACTTGTCAATAGCATCTGAAAGTAACGGAAATTGGAAAAAAAAATAAGTTAATACAATTTTAAAGCGTTAGAAAAGACTGGATTAAACTTGGTCATTAATTAAGAAGATAAATAGTTATCAATGTGAAAAGCCTCGAGAAAATCTAATTCACAAACGAAATAAGCTCTTTGGATAGCTTTTGTACCCCAAAAGTCAAAATTATAGTGAAAGTTTAAACTACAAGTAGTTATTGAGGGGAAAGACTTGTTAATTTCGCCTTTTCGAACATGGTTTCTGAATTTAATATGCGCTTCCTTAAATTCGATATACGCTTTCGACCTTTTTGATGGTGTTAAATAAGATTTATCGGAGATTTTATCTATTATAAATTCATTTGATTCAGCCATATAGTTCATCGTTGAAAGTGAATCTGACAATACCGTTCCCTTCCTTCATATTTTTTTAATTCCCAATGAGTTTTATTTCAGCACCACTGTTTACCGTAAACCCTTTTCTGTTTCTTTACCACCCATGCTAAGTCATGTCACCCAGCTAAGCAAAGAATGGCTTCTTTTTAGTACTATGCTTTTTGTTCCAAAGTTCTTCCAAAGTTTGTTTCTCAGTCTCAAAGTTTGCTTCCACCTTCGCTCTTTCAAAGTTCCTTCTCAGTTTCAAAGTTTGCTTCCTTTTATTCCAATAATTGAGTTCATTAAATGAGTTCTAATGAACTCAGTTATTTGGTAACAGTTGCCCTTGACCAAGGATTTTCTCTTGTGGTCGCTGATAAAGCCTTTAAAAATTTTCAGCTTGCCATCAAAGAAGACATTTCGCTATTCGAAATAACATTAATTACCTTGTCGTGCTTCCCTTTCACTCTTCTATTAATTATTAAATTGCACAGATGCTTCAGAAGTTGAATTTGGAAGTCATTTTATAGCTTAACTATAAAATCCATGGTTCGTTTCTTAAAGATTCCATTTCTGACTTTAATTCAAGTGAAATTTATAGCATATCGTGTCAGTGCGGTTTGAAATACATTTGCCAAAAAGAGAGCGTATGTCGAAAAAATTAAAGAACACATATATGAAGTCCGAAAAGGTTAAATTAATAAATCTTCTATAACTAATCACAGTTGAATATTGAATTGTAATTTTGACTTCGGGTATCCAAAAAGCTTCTTCCATTAATGAATTGGATTTTCTTGAGGCTTTTCACATTTGCAAATATTTATCTTCTTTAGTTAATTTATCTTCTTAACACTTTTAAAATTGTATAAAATTAATTTTTCAATTTTCATTACTATTTTTGCCGATAGACGGCGATACCTTCCCTTTCATTTTCTGCTCAAGGTTATAAATATGACCGTTGCTTTCCATTTTTGCAGATTTATTTGCTCCTGATGAAGAGAGACCTCTGTCTGTTTATCCTTAAAATCGATTGATGTTTTTGACTAAATCTTCGCCGAACACAAGGTTGTTTGTTACTTTGCAAATTTTATGTAGGCATTAATACTTAATAAAATTTTAAAAAATAGGTATGACTAATTTCATTTGAAGCTGGTTTCAAACCAAAAGAGTTGATAATAACTCGATATGAAAATTTTAATCACATTAATGAGTTATTGTTTCTATATATTGATAGGATTTCCATAATTTCAGATACATCACTCAAGCTCCCAAATTGAAAAGTATACCTAAGGGAGTTTTCTCGGCTGTTCTTCCTAAATTTAAAATGCTGTAAGTATATTTTACTCTTATTTGTAGATAATTAATGTATAAGAATTAAATAATGTATGACTCCATTTTTCACGTTCATAAAATTTAAGTTTTTATTGTGAACATTTTTGTTTATGACTGTGTTATCCACTTAAATTTTCCAATACAATTTACCTTACAATTTTTGTTATGTATAGAAGTCAGCCTTATTGTGCAAAAACTACATGTATTCGTTTATTCATTTTGAAAAATAAAGCATTTAAGTGATAAATTGAAAATTCCAGAAAGAATGAAGAAGAAATTACCATCTCAGAAAAAAAGTTAAACTGTTTAGGACTATTGTGAAGAATATTTCCGATGCAAATTTTTACCATTACCATCATACAATGCATAAAGCGTTCAAAGAAACTCTTTAGGATTAAACGCAAGGAAAACAGAATTTTTTCCAAGCTCATTTGATACAGATTTCCTAAGAGGCATCTTCAAAATAGTTTCTTGAAAATAGCTTTTATAGCATCGGAGGAAAGGAGTGAGAAAAATAAATGACTTCAATCTTCCAAAGGAAGAAAAATATTATGCCCCTAGGAGAGAAGCTGTCTATTAGCATATGCTCGAAATACGTTGAAATATCTCATTGAAATTTAGCAGATTAAAATTGAAGAGCTAAAATTTGTACAAGGATAGAATTTTACAAATTGTAGAATTTCAAATAACGAAAATAATTACTTTACAATGCCGGAAAACCTACAGAATTTTATGATATATAATAGTTCTTAAAAAGGGATGGCTACGTAAAACATATATTCAAGGTTTAAAATTAGGTAATTAGGCTTCTGTAGACTTTCTTGAATAAACCTTCATCAATTTCGATAGTAGCCTATATTCTTTGCAAATTTTTCTAAAATATGGCAGCGAATTAACAAGAAAAATTCTCAAGTTTGTAAATATACATTGTCTCTAAAAATAAAGTTATTATTTTGCTACCATGTCAGGATTGCCGTTCCTTCTTAATTGCCTTTGGAAACATAACTAGAGTCCTGAGTAGAAACAGGGAGTTTACTCAAAACTGATGTTCGTGCGTGTGTAGAAGATACAGTATAAATACGAAAGGGTTAAATTTACCCTTTATTTCTCACAGCGTATAGCCGTTCCCACACTTCGGAATACAGAGAGTAACACTTACGGTCTAAAACGTAGAAAATAAGACGTAAAACTAACTTAACTAAGTAAGAACTAAACTTAGATACCTTACAGAGACTGGTAACGCGTAGATTGGCCTTTTAACACTACGTATGTAGTGAGCGAAATGCAAAAAGACTACAATACGTCTTCAAATATCAGCGAGAACTAAGTTCTGGTCTTAAAGGCAGACATGAACTGACTCAAAAGCACGCTCGTGGTTAAGGCAGCGAAAAGTCTCTTTCTCTCTCTCTCTGTTTTGGCTAAAAGCAATATCTTAAATACTTATACAGTGTGCATAAGCATAAACAATTCATTATCATAAACAATTCTTTCGCGCTTGTTCTGGCTGGAAATGGAAAATAAGAGAGGATAGCATAGTTTAAAATAAAATAAATTTAGTAAAACTTAAAATCCTTACATATTTACTGCCAGAATTTAATAGTTCGAAAACTAGGTCTAAATGACCTTGTTGAGCAATTCTAAATTCTAACTCAATAACGAGGCCAGTCCTTGCAACCATAGAACAAAATTTCCAATTAATGAAATGTTTTTACCCTTCAGTAAGATAAACAGAAAACGTTTTCGAATTTTGTCCAATGTTAACGCTGTCCAAATGTTAAATGAATTAAGAACGAACTTGTTATATTAATATTTTCTTAAAAAAGTACACGGAAAATAATAAAATATCGTTAAAAGCTTTTAAAAAATCGTTAATATCTTTATTACAAACCTATGTTTAACGGTAGTTCAGGATAACTTTTGCCTATAACCAAAACGAAAAAAAAAGTAAAAGAAATTTATCTATTTAAATATTTGACGAAATTCGTTTTAAACATTTATCAGATTTGCATCCTTGGAAATGGATTTATTCACAAATAAATCCATTTTAATTCCAAATAACATGTTTGCTGCTAAAGTAAATCTTAACTATTTTCAATTCTAAATACTGCTTTCCTGAATCAATAAGTTTGTCTCGAGATAAGTTTACTTTCGAAATTTCATCGAGAGCATCCTGATTTAATGGACGAAACTTTGGCTTTTTTATTGATTTTGCAAGGTTGAAGGATTTTATATTTATTAACCCATCCTCTTATTTTTTTTTAACTTTTACTGTCACTTATGCTTTTGTCAACTCCCACCAGGATGTCAATTAGTTAATGGATATAAGACGAGAAGTAGTTAAATTTAGGGAGAGCTATTGCTGACCGTCGTTTTACTATTTTCGCCCACCGTCTAGATTTACTTAAATCGATTTAGCATTTCATAGCCGTATTTGCTCACTTGAGTCAATGGCCTGAGCCTAAATTAAAAACACTAATTTTGCTTTGTGAATCCATATCGAAATTCTTGAAGTTGTACCTTGACTTGTGCTTTGTTACATACCACAGTAATCCTACACGAATTGTGTAAATAGCCAGACTGATGCACTAATGAAGATTCGTTTCGAGCATTATTCTGAGATCGATGTTTTTTCACTACAAACCTAAGACAGGGCGATAAGTCACTTCAGTGTCCGCATGCAGCATTTAAGTAGTTAGATTCCGTTACAAAGTGAGCTTCTGGGTAGTAAATCGGAACTTTTTGAAATCCAGGATGCAAAAGAAAACCCTCTCATCCTTTCATATCTTTCAACAGTCAGTTTACCAAATATTAGGTTTATTTAGGCTATGGCAAAGCATTCGAGAGTTCTCTGCTTTAAATGAAGATGCTCCGTGAATTACCTTTTTAAGGAAACTGATTCGTATTCAACCTGAATATTCGATAAATCACGTAAACTGCCATGCAATTAGCCCATTCTCTAAGATTTGAACTCGGAACAAACTACCACTGTTCAGCAATTGAAATCGTCGGCATTTGATAGCACGTGGAAAAATATAATATACATCTTAACTCCATTATTGCTCTAATGGTAGCATGAGAATGCAATGTAATTCATCATTGGGATCGAGCCTAGAAAGAATCTGCCATAGTTCAATGTTTTAAACTCTTGGAATAATGGTTGAACTTGACGATGAATAGTATTATAATGCAACTGAAGATTCACGTAATGAACGAAAGATGCCAACTCTATACCGTTAGTCTTTACCTGCTACACATTTAGAGCTGCAGTGCTTCAAAAGTTACTTTGAGAGAGGAGAGTTTCGTGGTATATAGTCTACTGAAATATATATACAATCTTTTTGTCAAATTAGTCCATTAGCGACCTTTGTAGGATGTGGCTAACTCTGAAGTGTAGCGTCAGAGAGCCTAACTATATTCATTCAACCTTTAACACATATTCACAATAATTTGCTCTTTCTCCAGTCACACGAATAAGTTAAAATTTTTGGCATTACTTTCACTTTTAACATATCACAGTATTTCTTAACGTTTAAAATAACAGTTCACATTGTATATAAGGACATATTAACATGCCGTTAATTTTACGCATTTTAAAACATACATTAGTAGTACATTGTTAACTTCTATTCTTTTCCAAGCAAGTGCCAATTCTTCTACATTGAAATACTACATTTCAAAAGTCTTTCAGACTAAAACTTCTTTCTTGCCAGAATCTTTTAAATAAAATTTATACAATAACTTTTACAATATTCAAGTATTTACACATTCCTATTATACATCAACTTTAGTTTTACTCGCGAGTAATTGAAAAACATAATACCAAAATAGGTAACAACTCATTTCTCGCCTTTTTGGCGATAAAGGTAGACCTCACATGAGGTAAAACGTCTTGAAATCTGCCACTTGCAGTAAGAATGAAAGATTAACTTAAGTTTGCAAAGTAACATAAAAGTTTTACTTATCTTTGTGATATTCGGACATTCTTTTCTCTGCCCAGTCCTGGAAGGTAGCGAAGATTCGTGTTTGATTTACCTTCCTTCTTGTGCGGGCTCGCCCTTCAGTTCCTTCCTCTAGGAGCTTTCTTTTCCCTCCAGTTCGGTCACCCTTGAATACCTTCTTTACCTTCTTTTTCGCCTCTGCCTGTGGTCTTGGCCGTTTGATGGCAGCTGGTCTTGGCGGAACCGGGACACTTCTCTCTCGTTCCTGCTTGGATCTCGTTGCTGGCCGTTCAAATTTTCCTTGTATCTTTTTTCCTCCGCCGCTGGTGGTTCCTTCCGCAATTCGGCGACATTTGCTGCGTAGAGTCCTGTCCGATGAGTAGATCTTCCGTTTGGGAGCCGAGTTATAGTTGCCGTTATTTCTCCTGGCTCTCTTTGCATTCGTCGTACTTCTCCCTTCTTCATTCTGGGGGTGGTCGTGCGCTCTCTTTTCTGGTCGGTGGAACGGCTTCTTTTTCTTGTTACCTTCAATTTTCCAACGGGGAAACTTTCTTTTCAATTGCTCCTGCCTCCTAAAGGCTTGCCCTTGTGCTTGTCGTTGTTCCACCTCTGCCTGCAGTGCCTGCCTTGCCTGCTGTGCCTGCCGTGCCGGATCCTGCAAAAGATCTTTAAATATTTGCATTTTATTACGGTCATAGTATGGTTTTATCTGGTCAATGTTTGCGGAGCATGTTTCACCATTCCTGGCTTTTAACACCACTACAGCGTGAGTTATTTTTTCTATGACATATGGTCCTTCAAATCGTGGAAAAAATTTGGCGGTTTTATCTTCTGGTGCTGAAGAAAGTGAATGCTTAATTTTTAATACTTCATCTCCTACTTTATAAGTTACTCCCCGTCGTTTCATATCATAATAGAGCTTCTGTTTTCTTCTGTGCTACTTCAGTGTTCTTTTTTGCTTCTTTAATTAATTTTTCTATATCACCCATTTTAAATTCTGGGGCTCTTTGTTGAACATAAATAATTTATCTAACGGCGTTATAATCTTTCTGCCTAAAA